GTAAAACAAGAAATTAACAAAAAAAACATATAACAACACTAATATATGCTATAGACAAGTTGTAATAGTATATACAAATGAAAACACACAGATTACAAATAGTAAAAAACAATTATTAAGAATTCTAGAAATTGCAAAAGAATTTTTCAAAACTAATGATATCAAAATAAATAGATCCAAATTAAAACTTATAATAATAAATAAAAAACTTAAAAAAAAGAAAAAAAAGATTAACTTTAAACAAAATAAGATAAAGAAGAACCAAAAAACATGATTGTAAAATTATTAGAAATTTGACTAAATAATAGAATAAAAGAGTTATTAGTTAACAAAAAAGTAAAAAAAATATTTAGTCAAATAGTCAAAAATCTTAGATACAAAAAAATAACAATAAGCCAAATTATATATATAAACAATATAGTAATTATTTTTAAATTAAAATATTTAATATAACTAATAAAAATAACTAAAAAGATAATTAACAAAATATATTAATTATTAATATACTTGGCAAAATATAAATGCAATATGATGTATACTGCAAATAATTGCATAATAGAACACAAAAATCTCAACAACTGCAAGTCACTAAAGCAAAAGATAATAGCAAAGCAAATAAGTAGCATATTTTTTAGGCTGAACAAAAAAAACAGTCTAAATGAACTAACAAGACTTAGAATAGCTTAAAGTTAACAAATTATAAATTTAACAAAAAATATATAAAGCTTAAAAAAAGAATCAGAGAAGAAAAAAATATTAGAAAAACAATTTAATATATCAAGCAATAGCCAAAGTAAAAGAAATGAGTATAAACATTAGAACTAAAAAATGATTATAAAAAGTGTATAGTTATAGAAACTAAATAAAAGACATAATAAAAAGCAAAAACATAGAAGATAAGTAACAGCAAAATAAATAGTTAGTGATTACTCTATTTGAATCAGCTAATAAATGTAAATGATAAAAAGCTAATCATATAAAAGCAGTTTAAAAGTTTATAAGACAGATTATGTAAAAGAAAAAAAGCAAATAGTTTAGCAAAATAGAAAAAAAGATGCTAATAATATAAACAAGCAGAAAGGTACATACATGATTAGTACAAAATAAACAATTATAATACACAAGCATTAAAAATCAAATAGACAAAAAAGACAAATAACAAAAGAAAAAAATAATAAATTATATATAAATCAAAAAACAATTAATAGTTAGGCAAAATAGTTAAAAAAAAAGTAAAAAAGTTCTTATTAAACACTGATTAATATATATATATATAAAGAAAAAATATCTATAGAAATAAGCAAATATAAAGGCTAAGAAAATATACAGATACAGATGATAAATAAGTGTAAGAGATGAATATAACAAGATCATAATATAAAGGTTATTTCAAAATTAATAATAGAAAAGAATAACAAAAGAATTAATATAACAATAGACTAACTAAAAGAAAGCAAAATAATAAAAGAATAAATAAGAAAAGAAAACTAGTCAAACTCAAACAAGTAGAAAAATTAGAGATTAAAATAATAAAAAGACAATGATTGAACAATATGCTTATATACTAACTAATAAAAATTGTAGCAAAAAACAAAAAAAAAACAAAAAAGTTACATTTTTATACAAATAAAGTACTATACAAAAAAGATAAAAAGAATAGTATAAAGAAAATAAATATTGAATAAGTGCAAGTAGAAGAGAAAGGCAATTAGTCAAAAGTAATACTAGATCTAGACAGATGGCTATTAGTAACATTAGCTAAACTGGCAGCATTATAAATAGCAATTCTAACAATATTAGAATAAAAAGATATAAAAATCTATACAAATAGTAATACTTAATAAGAAATATTAGTAAAGCATTACAAAATACAAAAGATAAAAAAATTCTTAAAAAGAAAAATACAATATAGATATTAAATATTGTAGAACTAGCTAAACAGAAAAACATTAAGCTAAAATTAATTAAAATTAAAAGTTATAGCAAAAATAGATAAAATAATAAAGCAAACTTATTAGTAAAAAAAAGACAAACTACAAAGAAGTAATTTAGATAGAGAAGAATAAATATAAGAAAATAGAATACTAACTAGAATGAAAAAATAAAAAAATTAATATATCTATAAAACTTCTTTGCAAAATAATTACAAATGCTAGAATAAGAGCTAATTAGTAAAACACAAAAATAATTAGAGTTTTAGAACTAGAAACAAAATATACACTTTACAGTTAATCAAGTTTTTGGAAAGAAATAAGTAAAACAAAAAAGTATATTGCACTTTAAAAAAATTAAGTACAAGAAAAGCCATAGTGATCAAGTATATAATGAATAGTTTACTAATATTAGTAAATTTAAATAAAAAAAAACTAAAAGTATATATAATAACAAAATGTTAAGTTTGTCAAAATAATAAAAATAAAACTCAAAAATACATAATAAGTTGTAATAAGCAAAGAAGACTATAAAAATGAATACAGAAAATATTAATAACAAAATTATAAAATATGTTTAAAGAAAAAAAAAATCTCACTACAAGTATTATACAAAACACTATTTGGAAAAACAAAAGAAAAAGAAATAACAAATAAAAAAATACCTAGTGATTGTACCTGAGTAACCTTTTTACCTGAAAGGTTATAACCTTTAGTAAAATCTAATAACTGGTTTTATATTCTATTAAAATAAGAGGATAACGGTTATATCTAATTATATCTGAATTAAAAAGTATTCACGTGATCAGCAAATCAATTGGCCAATCAACTTACAGAATTAAATAATTACTATTTAATAATTCAATTTTATATATAGTTCTATATTTGCGATTGAATAATACCTAATATTTATTTAACTCTATAACTTAACCATTTATCTTTATTACTTACTATACAATAAAAATGCTAAATTAATCTACTAAAAGTAAGTAGCAAGACTATTATTATCAATAAATGCCTCTTTAAGATTAAAACACATTATTTATATGTTCTAGTATGATCATACATTATAACAATAAATAATATTTAAAAAATAATAAAGTATGTATTTCTAAGCAAAATTGATTAAAAATAGGAGATTTATTTGTACAATGAACATTAAAACTAGAAATAGTTTTGAGCACAAAAGTACAAAACACATAAAGAAGTTACTAGAATTATCTGATTTTGACATTATAATTATTATTTGATCAAAAATAGTCTTGCTAATATACAATAACTAATATAAATAAACAAGATAAGTCATATACTAAATAATAATTAAATAGTATTGACAACAACAAAATGCATTTATATAATAAAATTGTGTTATTAGTTTAAATGCTAATAATGCCTATGCCATTAATCAAGTGGTCTCATATTAATTAGTTATTGAACCACAATTTTATATCATATAGTAAATGCTTTGTTAATTTAGTATTATAGCTTTAATTAAGTGATCTTTGCTGTTATAGCATTTAAGCCATAATCGTATAAGACTAACTTGTTTTAGCAATTGCTTATTTATTCTTGCAACATTAATTAAGCTACATATAATACATAAGTATTTGTTAGAAAAACTAATAAAAAATATATTTATTCAAATAAATTAACTTATCTTTAAGTATCTATTTAATTTTTGCTATTTAATATTATAGTTAATATTAATTCTGTGACGAAGGTTTCTATTTATAGTATATTATATATATAATAATTGAAATATCTAGATTAAAAAAAAGTTAGTAATATATATAGATATATAATGTGCATAATATACTTATCATTTAGTGTATGTGTCGAATTTGTTTCATGATTAGAGATTGAACCTATTGAGAAAATCTTTACCTAGGTATTATTAAATTACTTGGGTTATCTAGGTAAATTATTATGTATTTCGAGTAATCATATATCAACAATTTCTACCTAGGTCCAATCCCTATCCGTAATCACATGGCATGGTCACAATTATTGGTTATATCATAGTTAATTAGTTAGCCAAAAGATAAATATAGAAAAATATATCATATAAGTAGTTTTTAATGCAACTAATTTGTGTTAACATTATTATATAAATATGAATATATAGAAATTTATGTTTTTTTTGCTTTTATTTAACTTGCCATCAGGCCTTCAATTATATTTTGTACCAGATACAATCCCTAACAAATTAAACTGATTTTGTCTGATACAAAATATAATTGAAAGCTCAATAACAGGTTTTCCTTTGGCAGTACTCATTACTAACCTGAGAACTTTTACTTTACTGGTACTTTGATTTGCTATACTGTTATTTACATATATAGATATTGAAGGTTATGTCATCTAGTAAATTATTCTTGTAACAATTACCGATCTTACAGTAATAATATATTACTAGTCTCAATATAATTTTATATAATATATACTAACCAACAGGGGTACCAAAAATTTAATTGCAATTAAATTATTATACAATTAAAATCAGTTAAATTGTTACAGATAAACAATTGTGAAATAATTGCAATTTTTACATAATAGTCATACTAAGCTTATTTTTTAGTAATAATTTTAATGTCAAAATTGACATCAAAGATAAACAAAGCTATCATATTTACAAACTGGCACTACTAATCAATTGAGGTCAAATAATTGCAATTAATTGCTCTTACAATCAATTATTTGATAGCTTTGCTAACCAATTATTTTTATCTAAACCTATATATTTTATTAATATATAACAACAAAAAAAGAATATTTTTTGATAATTGCTATTTATACAATAAGAAAATAACTACATATTTAAAGTCAATACATATATATATTTTATAGAATGATTACTTTCTTATTTGGAAAAATATCATTAACACTATACTGATTTTTTTTTAAAAAAATTAAATGCTCAAATGTAATGGGTAAAAGATTTGTTCTTTTAACAGACATTATATTTCTAGCATCACTAAAGAGCCTTTCACTAGGTGTAGAAGCAGCTAAAATTGCTAAATACTTTTATGCTAAATAAGATAAAACTGTAAAACAATTTTGATTACTTTTCTACCATTCAAATAGGCATTGATCATAAGAAATTTCTGGTATTCCAATATAGTCAGAAATTTTAACCACTTGAGCATTATTTAATTGAAACATAGAAGCTAATAATTTACTTGTAGATGGTAATGGTTGTTTAATAGGTAATATATTTGTTCAGTTTTGATGTTGTTTATATACTTTACACAATGAATTGTAAGTTTGGGATTTTAAAGATTCTGAAGCAAACTTTAATGCTTTACACCAAGGATCAAGTAATGCAGCTAACATTCCTTCTTTTGATGGTACTTCCCAGTAATAGTTTATAGCATTATATAGAGCAATTTTTACTCTTTTTTCAAAATGTGTACAATCTTAAGGAATATTGTCATGGGTTAAACAATGACTTCTTGCTACTGAACAATCTAGCCCAACGATAGATATAGCACATGTGCAACTGTCAATTATTCACCCACATGATGTTCAAGATAATTATGCTGATACTTTATTTTATTTAAATGGATCTATGCTTTATTATATGTTTTCTTTTTTTTTTCTCTAAACTAACCTTTATTTCATTACCTTTCATTGTTACTTATATACCCTATTTTGGGGTAAATTGATTATATCATAATCGATCATATGATCGTTTAACTTTTAAATTACTTATACTATCACTGACTCTTAAATTAGCTATATATTTCATGTGCATTACAATTACTTTGACATTGTAATTCGTACTACCAATCACTTTATAACCGATTCTTATTTAATCGATCTTGCATATGCCATAATTTCCTGATCCTGATCGATCATCATGTAGGCATGTGATGAACCAATCGCTTTGTTTGTTCTTTCTGGTGCCAGAGGGTCTAAACTTGTTGCCTCTGCTACTTATACTCACCTGTTGATGTTT